CCCGTCCCGTCCCGTTCCGCCCCGCCCCGCCCCAGGTGCACTTATAGGTTTTTAAATGGAGAAGATATTAAGTTTGCAAAATAGTATAGTCGCTCGCTTCCGAGTGTTCAATCGATCCAACTCGGCTTACCATATTTCGCTTACCAATCGATCGATCGATTGATTGAGCTCTATTTTGTTTAAATGCATAACTACGAGATGATTTGGACTCAATTAACCAGTACAATCAAATTTGTGCGAGGAATTTCTCCGTACGGTCTCTAGCTTATCGATTTTTTTCTGTTACTGACCGCCGTTATCATATACTATGCTCCTTTGCCATTGTGCTACCCGTTGCCTCTAAATCTTTCGCACTAGTCTCGTAAAGAAACCATTAATCAAAAAGTCCAGGGCTAAATACCGTAATAAAGATTTTCAGTCATCCAAGGGAATTCAAGACTGTGTAGTACCCAGCATCTCTCTACGTGTACCCTCTTACCTTGTACCATTTTAAAATCGGAATCAACAGAAGTGTCCTCATTCGAATTTCGTCTCCCACCTTAATGTACTCATTGCATAAGGTTTACACCGTGTCTACGGTACCGTATAATTCGATGATAGAAAAGAACAACAAGGACATCAATAAAACAAAACCAAAAACTCACATATTATCATCAATACTCGTGTTGAACTGGATCACTTCGGCCAGGCTATGCTTATCTTTGGTCTGTGTACGAGGATGCGTTTTTGCACCCGAACCGGCCCCCGCGTAAAACACGTGCAGTTTCTGACCGAATTGGACCCCTAATTCGACCTGACCATGACGATTGTACACGGTGAACAGTTCGCCCTGGAATCCGTGTTCGACACGGGCCGTGAACAGAATTGACAGTTCGGAGATGGCTTCCTCTACAGGATAGAAAAAAAGTAAGTAAATACCAGGTAAGAAAATGGCATCCAAATGCGAGCACTATAATTGTTCAAAGACTGAACCGGTTTTTAACGAGTGTGCCGAAAAATCTTTAGATTTAATTTACTCACCAAGAGATTGCCGGTGTTCGAACACCGCTGTCTACATCGCGCTGCACAGGTCTGGTGGGGTAACCGAACGAGCAATGCTGCGGTTAGGCGTAGAGGTTTAGTTAGTCGTGGTCGTGCACTGGAGCAAGTGGTTGACCTCCATAGGTTACGCTGGTTGGGACATGTGCTGCGCAAGTCACCGGATAGATTGCCATGGCGAGCGATGTTTGCCGAGGCAGGTGGCGGTTGGAAAAAGGTCAAGAGCGATCAAACGAAGACCTGACATGAGGGTATGAAGACCCTAACCAGGAGACTCGGTCACATAGATCCCGTTAGGCTCCCTAGCTGATGATCACGAGATCATGGTCATCGATGGTCAGAGACACTGAGCGATATGGTTGAGTGTCGCAAACAATGATGCTCATGCATCTACTCATTATTCTCTTAACACCAATCTATATGAACTCTCTATCTTCCGCTTCAATTTGCTTTCAATATTCCAATCTTCATTCTGCTCTTTTATCCGAATTGGCGGCCAAAAGACAGCAACCAAAACCGACGAACGAAAGTGCATGTAAACATGGTTGTAAAAACTGAACTAAACTGAACTCGTCAAGAGGGTATTCCTTATACTATATCATCACAAGCTCGTGATAACTCAACCCCGAACGTTGGCAGTTAAGTTTGTCTGGTATGTTTCCATCTCCAGCCTGCTCGGACTGATTCCCCTGGTTGATCTCACATCAGCAACATGTGATACAACGCTTCCGTGGGTTACCAATTTAGAATAAGGATAAGCCGACTTTAGGATCTTTTCAAGGTTGACATGGAATGTTGAATCATTTTACAATTATTCAGTGTCTTACTGCACAATTGCATCTCTTCAAACTGTACACGTTGAAAAAACAGATGGTCTCCGATTGATGGGTACACAGAGAATACAGAGAGAACAGCCATATGGAACTTACTGGTGATCAATCGATCCCCATCAATGATCAGACTCATTCCTCGGGAGACCGAATAACCAACTGGATTTTCATCCGAACTGGTCGAATCCTCGGACCGTGTACCACAGCGACCGGCGACCGATTCCACATAGGCCTGCTCACCCAGTCGAACAGCTTTGAGTACATCTGAAGTGCCTGTTTGCGGGGAGCAAATTGAAATGATAAATTGCAACAGGAATCAGATTGGAGGAACAGGTATTTTGGATAAACTCATCAATTTGAAATAGGCACTCCGTATTTGCTGCACTCTTGTTCAACCGCGGATGATATATCAGCACAAAGTAAGCGGTATCAGGTGCATTGGGAATCAGAAGATTACATCAGTGCCATCATGCACGGCTCTCAGCGGAAGAGTAAGATAGTTTTTACTGTGGCTAAATAAACACAGGATTAGAGGATGCTTGTAGCTTTGCATTCAGAATCAGGCATGGTTTTGTGAGCTTTCAGTGTTACTATTCATACTTTATTGTAAATTGTTTTTAAAACAATTAATTATTCAATTCGGTTTAATTTTTCCCCCATCAATTTTAGTCCGAACAGATAGACAGACAGACAGACAGACAGACAGACAGACAGACAGAAAGTTTGGCATACGGACAGCTGGATGACAGACTGCGGCACTTTGACCTAGAAAGTTATTTGTTCATGAATCAAAAACGTTTGCTCAACAATTTTGTTGATGAGTGCCTTTTGGGAAAAAACATCAACACACACTTGAGAACCAACACATTTTGTGCTGTATGACGTTTCAACCTGATGTTGGGGTCACTTGGTCCGCTGATTTGCGTAAACTCTGCCGAAGTTTGTTGACAAGATCCATAAGTGAACCGTTTGGGAGGGGGGATTTCTGAGTCAGTTTGCAATTCTCCCAAAATCATGGTGTTCAAGATTTTCGGCTTATATATCGCGTCGAGACGATGAGTACGCGACGCAAATGTGCAGCGAAGTAATTGTTATACTGTATGCGGATATATTTCACATTGCAGCCAGGTTAGAGAACGAACAAAACACGGAAAAATCTCATAAAAGTATTGTTGGATCAAATAAAGAGATTGATTCGCATATTCTCCTCTTTATCAGTGAATGCGTTTTGTGCACTGAGTAAAAGCCAATAATAGGGCAAGGACTGCAGTGACCGGATCATTTCAGGTGTCCGACTTGTCTTCTTTGGGAATCAATGTTTTGAAGCCATTTATTTCGGTTACTGAGACGTGATAAACATTACAATACAGTCAATGAACAATCAAACGCACCGACTACGTAACAATGAGGACAACTGATCTTAATCACTCATCGTGCATAAAGTAATGGAAAACTTGGTCTTAGCTGTGTACATTACCAGGCTAAAGTCACACATTTAGATGCTTTGCAGGAGTCAAAATGCATCTCACTGCTACTGCAATCTTTCGTGCTCGATCATTAACGGACACATATTTTGCACAGAACGTGAAATGCCACCGTTTGTCCAATGAGGCCTTCTTATACGAAACGAAAAGGGCACACTTGTAAATGTTTCATTGTGATCTAAGCAGTCCGACTGATGAAGACTGACTAAAATGTTCTCTACTTAAACAGGTGAGATGGAACAAAACTATAACTTACGCTTTCATAACTGTGCAAAATATTTAGGCTCAGAATGTGACGAATATTATAATTATAATTGACATAGGACGTTGTTTTTATCTTTTTTGTCACTGTACAGTAAAACGGCATAAAACGGAAAGCAACTTCGTTGTAGCTAGAGTGGATAATAGAATTAGACCTGGATGGGCAAACGACACATCGAATTCGGTCACCGCAGTCCGGGCTGAAATGCAGGACCGAGTCAGAATAGGGTTCCGAGCCAACCAACTGAGAAGGGGGATCGAACCACAAAGCCAACGGGATTGCATATCATTTTTTGGATTATACCTGAATCTGTTTTTTGAGAATCTCAAAACAACTCTGCCAACTCTGTGTGATTTTTTAATTAGGTAAGCTCTGGATCATCTAATGATGATAGAATGGTATATTTCTAAATGGGATAAATGATAAACAGAAGGTGAGTGGGGGGAGGGGCGAGTCGAATACAATACATGATCAACATTTGAATAGTTTTTGAGTTGTAGAGGTAAACAATAATTTGGATTCGTTTATACTCGCTCCTGAAATGTCGTATGCACAAAATGCGTCTATGATGATACAAGTTTTCGAAGTGAAAATATCAGAAAAGGTTTTAGGTTCCGAACGCAAGAATGTGACTTGGTTTTAGGTGTTTACTTTACATAATCGGGGTTTGCTCAATCCGCATCCTCCAGTGATAAATTTCGAGTGAGACTAACAAATACTCTCCTATCCGTGTTTAGAGTGTTTTTCACCAACCGATCGATACGTGTCACCAATCACAACTGAACGACTTTGACTCTGCGCTCAGACACCCAACACTTACATCTAACATGAATCGCCAGGGTGAAAAAAAACGGATTTAGAAGATCGATAATACTGATATCTGATTGGCTGATTACAGCTCACGATCACTCGGCCTTTAATGTTCCATCAAACAAAAGATAAGCTGCCACATCAGTCCAAATACTTCATTTTGTATATTTTCACATGCGCTTGTAGTGTGTGATACATTGGACATACGATCAGGCGATTAGAAAAACGTATTGCTAAGCACTGTTCTGTGGCCCTCTACAAAGGAACGGTTAGATGTAGTCGCAGCTCTGTTCTCGGTCATCTGGTGAACAAACTGGATGCGTTCAGAATTATTCCCATCATACCACCGGATATATTCTAAGGGAATAAAAAGGAGCCTTTTAACCACGGCCGAGGTGATTGCAACTCACCTATTCCATTCAGAATTATACAAGCAAAAAAAGCTGGTCCAGACACTGTTTTTCGCCCCGGGTCTTGACAATGGATTGACTATTGCATAAAACAGAACATCAGTCTGTGAGATAACAGATTATTTCACTGACTATAAAAATCACTTGGACTGCAGTATGCACGTGTACAGATGCAGCGAAATGACCATGGATACATTGTGATTAGCGATCTTGTGTTTTTTCTCTCAAATCTGTTATCTCACAACTTTCAGTTGAATCAGTCTATCTCTCGACTGTTATTGACTTTTGTCCTCTCACCCCGTCCACAACACTGGCATTGATTACCGCTAACCTTGTCACATTCGCTTGCTCGTTTACTCGCTTCTGTTATCGTTATAAATTGAGCTATATTCAACCAATCAGTACCATAAACGCGTTTTTCTGTATGTAACCGCCTGATACGATACATCGAAAAAAATTTCTTCCCGAGCACGGTTTTTTACATTATCGTCTATGGAAATATTTTACGGATTTAGAAAACACTGTGGTGGAGATAAAGATGAAATGTGCGGGGAAGGGGATGTTCTTCCTGACTGTCTTATTATGCAACTATGGGGCAAACTATCTGGGTACCCCAAAATCACAGTCTAATTGACGTTGCCAAGTAGCTGAAAAATATTTTTTTTTGTTGGATACCATCGGATTCTGGTGCACACTGATTTCGTCGTCCCGACTGATCAGATTATCGATGGCGGGGCCACTGCTGATAAAAGCTTATCTGGTGACTGACAGAACTCTCAGCAGAAGGGTACGCATATTCATGAACAGTCCACATCAGCAAATGCATAAGACCGGTGACGCTTGCGAATATTTGCCTTGCTATCGTACACCTATTGNCTATTGTGCCATAAGTTAGATAACACCACACACACACACACCCGCTAACCCCATCAGACCATCTTGCTTTGCCACTCTCCAAACCCACTGATCTCTCCTACTGTATTCTCGACCGACCTAAAATGGTATATAAACACACTAAAAAAAAATTATTTCAAAAAGGATGCTGATCAGGGGGCAGGGTTCATATGAAACGGATCAGACGAGGTGGATGGATATCTCTGTTCCTAGATCTCCTTTTCAGGTCAACTGATTAACTGGTTCGTATTGGAACGCGACATGATTTGCTGTTTATGCGGCCGCGGGACAGTGGACGGGAGTTAGGGAAGGTTCACCGGATGAAAAACCCGTTCATGGCACAAAAATTACTACAGCATATCCGATGTACCGACTCCTCGGTAACGGAATTTTTGCTTCCTCGTCTACTAGGCACAGAGTTGAAGTTGAATAGGAACTGACTAATCTTGATCCTCCAACCCTGGTGCAAAAACCGGGGCATGGTGAATAAGAGGACATAACAATTTGGACAACGGTAATCTGGTTAGCCAAAATTCCTTTCCTAATCGCCAGTTTCTATTCATCCAGAATTCCGATCAGTGCACTCAAATTTTCAACAAATCGATCGATTGACTGGCTTGAAATAATGTAACTGTGATATTGAAATTAGTAGTACTGGCATAGCTTACTAGGAAATCTATGTTACTGAGCATGGAATAGGCGGTGGTAGTGATCACGTAGTTAGGTCATCAAATTGTGACCCGAAAGTTCCGGGTTCAAAGCGCCGCACCGCCACCTGTCTTCCCTACTCCTGTATTTCCCCTGGCCGCGGCCCTCTTCCTGACAGTTGGCTGTACATTTGTATATTCAATAAATAGAAAAAGAAAGTAAAAGAAAGACAAAATACAAAAAAAAAAACTGGCAAACAAAAACGAAGCTACTATTACCGGTACAGGAGAGAGAAACGACTCGATGATTGCGGGAGGAGAACGAGAGAATGACGAATGTAGAAAAAGTGGAGACTTTTCACCCCGCACTTACGAATGATTTATAGTGGGAGAGGTGAACTCTATGATTTTGCTGACTGTATTGGAACCTAGGCAACCTAGGCAAGTCCAGGGGCTAAGACAATGAAAAATCATTTGAATCATGCTTAGAAAAGAAATTCCCGATTGAGATACTCGGTAATAGAACTAAACGATGGACAAAAAAAATTAAAATTCGTACGTTCACAACCGCTCCCGAGTACAAATGTGTTATGTAGGATGCACGCATAAAAACTATAGGTCGTAATGGCTACTTCTGCTAAAGCTCACTTAATCTACATAGTCCAAATGTGTTTCTACAGGCAGTCAAATATATTTGTATACCACATAGGCATAAAACTGTCCTATTCTGTCCTATCCCATACTGTAAGCATATATCTTTACGCAATCTTGGAATTTCCAGGAGAACAGCCAAATCGATCGATGGGCAATCATTTGGCATTTGGTTATGTCAAAACTAGTGTTATAACTCCACAAGGCGGTGCCTGGGATTGCAGTATATCGATAATTTGGCATACATATAATAAGACATTTGAAACACGTCATCACAATTCCCATCAGCACACAGGGTAATGAATGGAACAGTCCGCAGTTATTCTTTGGAGCACAGCAATTCGCTCTAAGTGTTATTATTTATTTTTAATCGTTGAGAGAAACCACCAAACGCATTGTTTCGCATACTACTCACAAATATGAGTAGTACCTCACAACATTAGTCCCACCGGTGTGAAAATGAAACGAAGAAGTTCAGGAGTACAACAAAACTCTGACTACATAATACCAAATCAACTCATTCATCAATTTCCATCAGCATCCGAAAGCGAACGAACCTCGAAAAACGTTGATTCAAACCGATTTATTGACTTTTAAAGTTTGGCAATTTTGTGTACAAGCCAATCGAGTGAGGTTTGAAGAAAAAAACGAAAGTTAGTTAAAACAAAAACTATGTGTGACTGGTGCGAATTGATATCACAGCAGAATTAGACGGATTCGTTCGTGTTCAGTTGTTCGTTAGGCGTGACAATTTACTTGAATACAATTTATTACAAGTCAACTGGAAACCTAGGGTACAACAATATTTCAGTGCATGTCCATCTGTCTGTCTGTCTGTCTGTTTTATTTCTTCGAATTTCCTTGAACAACGTGGCATGACGTTACTCAACTTTTACAACAGTGAATCCTGTAACAAATTTCAGTCTTGAGTGAATAAGATTAGGTGGATGCTGACTTGGACAACGTTCGTAGACGATTGGAGCCAACTTCGGTAGGGCGTCAATCACCCCGACTGTAGTTTCCAGTCAGTCTAGGATTTGAAGATGAAAAATTCATTTGCGTAGCGATGTACTTGGTGTTCAGTCTAGGAATGTGACTCATACGTGACTATAGAAGGATGGTAATGCCTTAGAATACAGGTGTCAATTTGAGATAAACCCAAACACGGTGGTAACAAACTGCATTGACCGTATTCCAAAGCTAGTCCCCTCCATCTGCAGAGCTCACATATGGCAAATGCTTACTTAGACTTGTAAGCTTGGCGATAATCCCTTCAATGTGTGGTCGCTTGCGGAGGAATGAAAATATCCCTATTCGTGAATTCAAACTGGGGCAAGAAACCACCTTCAGAGGAGTGCGCTTCGTCGGCATTCACATCAGTTACGGGCTGAACGTACGTTTCCATTCAGACGCTTTAGTGCAAGAATGAACTCAGAGTGTACGGTTAGCCAATCCATTTGTCTGACCCAGCACAGACGGCCACATCGTCAACAGTTGTGATATCAGTCGGGTGCGAAACTGAACCGGTAAGTTTTGAGAGTACGTAGACCTTAAGTCAATCCGAAATGACCTACAACCGGATGAGATTCCCACTCACTTACAACTGGGTCTCGTGACACATGGAAGCTCGTAAAAATGACCTAGTTTCCAGACAATGGGAATCGTCATCCACCCTGCCCCATCACGTCTCATTGCGTTTTGCTACATACCGGTCACACTAAGACAACCTCTAAACCTAGATTCGGAACCAAATAAATGTCATCAGTTCGATTTCTTGCATTGTAAAGTACCAATAGAAGGGACGGGTAGGGGAGGGGGGCGCAGCAATTTTGCATTTCCAGTGTCACGCTTATTTTCAGTTCGAATGAGAAATCATTGAATTGCGAATTGGGCAGGGAAAACTGACATCCGAAAAAACACAGTCGTTCCGGGCAATCCGTTTCACTGTAGTCCCAGACAAATTTTCTATGAACCTTCGAATATTATACATTCCCGGGATTTGTATCCAACCAAAAAAAAATCACAATAGAATTATTACTGTGAAAAATGCGGGGCCGTACTAGCCAAGAAGTCTAGAGCACATGCAGACAAGTTCTTTCGCAGTTCAACAACTAATTTCAGTCAATTTAACATGCATTTCATAGCGTCCAACTGGACAGATTGAAATTAAAAGATGATGCGAGTGAATGAACGAAGATATGCGTCTCCCAAATTTGATAATTTGAATTGTATTTTTCTTTTTCAATTGAATTTTCGGACGAAATACTATCTGTTGATGATTGCATGAGAGAATGGGTAATTGCATTCCAGAGAGAGAGAGAGAGAGAGAGAGAGGCAGAGAGAGAGGAATACAATCAGGCTGATACCAAAAAGGCTACCAGCTCTGTTTCTAAACCTCGTGTTTAGCGTTCTGATAACTAAAACTCTAGGGAACACACACACACACACAAATTGGTCTAATGTCGCACGAAATAGAATGTCAAATGCAATGCTTTATTTGTTTCTGAGATTCACCCCCTGTTCATAGGTTTATCTACTTGAAAAATTACATTTTAACAGGTTTAAAATTTTAATTCGCTATTTTCGACCTATTGTATGGTCACGTTTCGGAGAGACAGAACAAATAAATAATTTGCAGATCTCTTTGACGCGGTCAGTGTGTCCAAACAATATGAATGATGGAGCATTGTTTTGTGAATTCCACAATTTCAGCTGCCCAGTCAAATGACATGATCAATAAGTAGCAATGGACGGTTTGCTCACTCGCTTTGGAATCGTCGTCGAACGAGAAGAACGACATCGGATAGCCGGGCGCTCAATAGGAGTGAGGAAAGGTAACGTCTGACATCGAAACTACCGCTAGATGCGAACGGGAAGCGAGTTCGTATTATCTGGTGCTGATTCTGGGGACTCACAATGAGTCTCAGTCGCGTTCGAGTCACTCTTGACTTAGTGAAGCCAAAACTAAACGGTTGTGCTTCCATTGTATGGGGATTAACTTGGGGAATCAGTTATTAATATCATTTTATTGCTAGATTTGTTTACTTTCAGCAAGCGATTTACCATCATCAACATATCAAGTTATATATAAACAGAAAATTTATGTAACGGACAAAATCTGAACCTCTCGTTCACCACGTACTCAAACCTATGGGGATCGGAAAACCACATACACTCTTTCAAGTCAAATCAAGAAAAGCTTTATGTGTCGTGTATGCGGGTGCATGTGTATTCCCATACTCTGTAGCTGTGTTCACGTGTCCTCGGGGTGAGAAATGTGATTGGCACAACCTTCATCAATCATCATATTATCTATGCAAGTTATATTTCTGTGGTTCAGTCTACTGTTTAAAACCCGGTTGAAAATGTTTACTGATCTATGATGGAATTGAAATAGATGATACTATCCTACCCGGACATCTCTGTTGCATATGCTGGATTCAGCATATCTGAGTGCAGTTTGAAGGCATCAAAAATACGAGCGGCAACCGATTGGATTAGACGTGGAAGTTACTTATAGGGAAACATGTCCCACGTAAAGACGGTATATCAAACCGCAAACACACACACAGCAAGTTTGATAAACCATGAATAGAGAAGTTCCGATCTGACTTTGTATTTCACCTCGATCCTCTACCTGGTTCCCGGAAATAGCTCAACACGGGGAGCGAGGCGAATGAGCCGATTCTCATCCCCTTATCTGTTTAGTGACCAAAATTTACATACCACTTTTCGCGGGATACTCTTGTCTGGGACAGGTTCTTTTCTTCATCAAAACATATCGCACTTGAAGTGAACCACCCTGGTAGACGATTTCAGAATATCGTAACCCTTTCTTTCCATTTATTAGCTGCACTAGTCTAGAATAGAATCAAACAACCATAAAGATTTTAGTTCAATGAACCCACAAGTTTCAAAACTTTTCACTGTCAACCATTAGTTGCATGGCTACCGTAGTTAACCTCAAACCAGAAAACGCGTTTTAGGTCGCCAATCTCGCGTGAGCCGAAACCGGGACGCAAAACAAGTGGAGAGGGAAGGGGCTTGGGGGGAGATTACAATTCAGAAATGTGGTAAATGCATTAAAACACGACCGTTCCTAATCCTGAATGAATATCTAGACAATTCTGTGCCCTATCAACAGATAATCACATATGTTGTAATAGTAATGATCTAACCACTCATTTTCTGATCGACAAACAAATTCACAATGTGGAAGAAAGACATGCACCGCAGTTATTGTGCGAGAAATGCGATTGAACGACACAGCGGGAGAGACTCACCCAGAATGGATTCCGCTGAACTACTGCCGAACAAACCGGCTGTCTGAACGGGAAGGAGGATTAGGACGTGGAGGAACAAAAGGAGGGAGAGACCACAGACCGACTGGAATCGCATTGTCTTTGGGGTGTTCCGCTGTTGCGGTTCACGACCTCGAAGCCCATGAATCCGACACCGCAATGTCGGATCCATCGGGTACGGAATTGTCGATCACAGTGCTGTGTTCTGGTGGCAGAAGTTTCACTATTTGTTACAGCCTGATCATACACACTGCGTCACAGCCCGCACCGCACGATTGAGGCAGACGTGCTCTCGAGACCTCAGTCGTTCGGGTGCACACTGTGA